AAAAATACTTTAATTCATAATAACGTGTGCTTCGCACTAAACCGTATATAACTTTATTATTATATAAGCATACATAACTTAAATCACGCCATTAGCGTTAGCCCGTTTAATTTAATAAAGCTAAAATTAATCATATCGATATCGATATCAAATTTTAATTCGACAATATAATCTTAAACCTGAATATTTCTGGATCATACCTACATTCGATATCAAATATTAATTGGACAATATAAATCTTAAACCTGAATATTTCCGGATTGTATTTATATTCGAAACTTTTAGAAATATAATAGCATATTAGAAATTTGGATTTATCCTCTAAAACTTCTACTCGAAACATAATCGGAATGATTTTTCGTCCATCGGGAACAAAATCTGAATGCATCTGTTAACAATTTTTGACAAATTTAAAGAAAGAATGCGTAAAACAAATATCTTGAAAAGTATATTTCTTAAAAAGTAATTACCAAGTTAGCATTTTTGACTTGGAATAGACCCAAATATGAACCAAGCACTTAGTAAGTCCTTTATCTTTATTATTATTATTTTTATTATTTATTTTAATCTCAACCGATTCTTTTATCTTTATATGGTGCTTTCAGCTTTAAACATCAATAAAAATAACTTTACCAAAAATTCTACTCCTCTTTTAAAAAATTATCAAATGTAAAAGTAATTCACAAAATTTGTTCTTGTCTTTAAGAACAAAACTCGTGGTTTAAATTTAAATTTAAAGCTAAACTGATGATGTAGTAACCTTTCAAAGTTTAGCTATTTTATTATTAAATAATTGTAAAAAAGTAAATGTATATGTTTTTCTTTTTCGACCAATCACATTATCGGATATAGAGACCATATGACTAATTTCTAAAAATTTACTAGTATCGGAACGACCGGACAAATTTTTCTATTTATTTTTAGAACATGCTCGTATTTTGAGTCAAATGATAGTCTATTTCAATTTATTCCGTTAATAAATATTATATATCGGTAATTATCAAAATCACGTGACTGGAGAGCTAAAGCCGAGGGCACCATATATATTATATTTTTACACACACAATGATCATCTCAATGTACCATGTAAATTGATAAAGTCTTTTGTAGTTATTAAACGCATTTATTTATTCGACGTCCAAACGTTACAATGCCAAAGGTTTGTGCGCGAATACCTGGATGGACTGTTCAATGATGTAATCTCTGGTTCTTTTTTTTCATTCGTTTTCTTTACATATATTTATCATTCTAATTTTAATATATATTATATAATTTATTTTTATTTTTTATTTTTTTAAAGATCTGCATGCCTATGAGTCCGGTCACTATGCATGTAGTCCTGTGACCGAAAATTTGCAAACAAAGTAATCTTATAAGTATTAATTACACACTATACCATATATGGGCATAGGCTTAGCGTTAGATGCTGAGAAAAGGGTCGAAATTGACCAAAAAAAAGTTTTGAGAAAATTGATTTTTATATTATGAACTTTTATAATAATTGTAAGAAAATAAAAACTTTAAAGAATTATACTGCAAAATTTTATTAAGATAATAGCATTTTGTTTCTTAAGTGAAAAAAAATTTTAGGCTAATTTTAAATTAATTAAGCTCAAAACATTTGTTTAAAAAATTGTCAAATTTGTCCCTTTTCTCAGCACCAAGCCCATATTTTAAAAAACCCCTCTTTCGGATATATATATATATCTTCCGTTCGCCTACTTCTTCATGTTTGAAGGTGTGAATTGGTTTTAATGTCCTCAATCTATTTCCGTATTCACGCTCTTTTACATACTATCCGCAAAAAAAAAAAATCTATTGAATAACAAGTGTATTCAGGAAATTAGTAAAAAATTTCAATCATCCATTCAATTATAGAGAGAGGGGCAAGAATTAGTAAAGATCTATGCAAAAATGTCTAATAAAAATAAAATAATTCTTCAATACCCCCCTAAAGAACAATACAACACAATTGATAATATACCTGGATCAAAATCTCGTGATAGGCGAAAGTTTGAACGTAAAACGAAAATGGAACCTTATCAGCACAAATTTAAAGCTAATGGAACATTTGAGATGAAAAAAAAATCGAGGGTTAGGAGAAAACATCCAAATGAAGCATGCTCTAGTCTTGAACAAGAACAAGAAGAAGGCACAGTAGATTCATCTTCTCAACCTTTGAATACGGCTACTTTATCTAATTTTTCAGCGATCACAGAAGAAAAAACTGATTCATCATTTGCTGAAGTTTCTCAAGAATTTGAAACCGCCGAACCAATATTTGACCAAGATTCAGAGGTATATTATAGCAACGACTTTGCTATTCCATTTCAAGATAATTGTATGTATGTAAAGATCATATATGTAAAGATCATCGATACTGTCTAATTGCATATACTCTCTAAATGCATAAAAAATTTTGGCTTTTAATTATTAACAAAAAAATGGTTCTTATAACTTAAATGCATATACTGTCTATATGCATTAAAAAGTCTCTAACGGATGGTATGCAATTAGACAGTATCGACTGTATTATGAATTCGAATTATATTTATCGTTACATTCTTGACACATACACATTCGTACCTATATCTAAACTTAGTACAAAACACCAGTTTTCCTTCTCCTTACGTGTATCCTGGTATTCATTATTTATTTATTGTAGATTTTTATTTTCACATATTTATATTTGTTGACTTCTTCATATTCATTATGCTTATTTACAATATTGCAAAAAATTAAATTATGAAGACTGTCAGCAATTTATGCCGTTAGAAAATAATTCTGACGTTATTGAGGAATTTATTATACGCTGCAAGCAAATTTTTTAAAGACCATTACGAATGAATTCAGTGGACACATGAGTAAGTATTTATGTTTGTCTGTTAATATATATATATATATATATATATATATACAAATATGTAAAATGTTAATTACAGCTTTAACATTTTAAATTATAGCACATACAGTACCTATATATACTGTATGAGTACCGCCAGGAAAAATCAGCCTTAGGGCTCTCAAGTTTATTATTTATTATTTACCAGATTCAGCCCTTGAA